ATACACACACGACTTTTTTTCCTCTCTTGGTAGGTGAAGGCAGAGTACTTTAAAAGAAAAGGCTCTATGACTGTTGATGGCCAAGAAGCACCCACAGTGACCACAGTGGGTGACGGAACCTCGCTGGATGTGGAGGGAAAGCTGTACCTTGGGGGCCTCCCCGCTGACTACAGGCCCCGGAGCATCGGGAACGTAAGCAGAGCTCCCTGGACAGGCCACGTGGCCTCGGTTGCATTTGCATCTGTCTGGTGGGGGACGCTGCCCCTTGCCTGTTGGGACCCTGCAGCTCGCCACAAGGCAGATCTTTCAAAGCGGGTTCAGCACAGGAACATTGCAGCTCCACCCCCAGTAGCTCCACAGGGATTTGGGGAGGTCCGGTGGGTTTGTGTTCCCAAGTTGGAGAATGCAAATGCTCACTGTACTTGGTAGTTCACCAAAATAATAGAAACAGGGTCACTGTATGGATATAGCTCAGAACTTCCCCAAGGCAGATGCCCACAGGAGGCTTTGTGATAACGACATTTTAAAAACTGAAAGTTCCTGCTGTGATGTGCTCTGCTGGGACAGGCTTGATGAATGTGGGGACCCTGGGCCTGGCGGGGTCGTCATGACCTCTATGCTTGGTTCAGATCACACACAGCATTCCTGCCTGCATCGGGAACGTGACGGTGAACAGCAGGCTACTGGACACGAGCAGTCCCCTGTCTGCCTTGGCAGTGGACAGATGCTTCGCAGTGGCTGAGGAGGGGACGTTCTTTGATGGAAGTGGCTATGCAGCTCTGAGTATGTATCACCCTGGTGCCAAGAACTCTGGGCTCACCCTAGCTGTAAGATGACATGGATCTAGGAAGTGGAGGGGAAGGCAGACCAGCTGGACAGGGCTGCAGGGTGAACAGATGGAGTCCGGATTCTGGTTTCTTCCTGGTTTCCAGTCTGATCAAGTGGTGCAAAAACCTCTTCGGGTCCTGTGCTGTCTGAGTGACCTGCCTGGATGGCTTCTACTGCCAGGTTGGGGCGATCCTGGCTGAAGGGGGACAGGGTGCTGGCTTCACCTGTATCATCCCTAAGTATACAAGACACTACCATCCGAGTTAATCAGGTGTCTTAGCCACTTTCTATTTGCTGGACACCCATGCCTTTAAGGACAGGTTTACTTGAGCTCAAGGGCACCAGGCTCCATGCTAGAAAGGCACAGAAGGGCCTGGTGGAGCAGAGCGCTAAAGGGCAGGAGGCAAGAGAGGGAGGGAGGAGTTGGGAGACAGGGGCATTTTCCAGGTCACGCCCCCCAGGACCACCTCTAGTGGCCAGATCCTGCCCCCTACAGCAAGTTGGCACTAAGCCCTGTGGTCTGTCATTTTTAATAGCCACCTCTTCCAACACAGGACATTATGGACCACTAACTCTAGACCATACCATCAAGGTCTGTGCATTAAAATCATTGTGAACAAACAGCAGCTGGCCAGAGAAGGGCTGTTGTCAGAGACAGCAGGGACAGGGACATGTGGACCCTGTCCACCTTTCCCTGTGGTTGTGTCCCTGCTAGGATCTTGGCTCAATCCGGGTCCCAGCTGCTGGCTCCCAGACACCACCTTCCCCGGTTTCCCCAGTCCTGGGTGTGAGGCAGTTGCCTGATGTTGCTCTTCCGCGGGCGTGGTGTGCTAGGGGCGGAGCTGCAGCAGGCCCTTCCTGGGCCAAGGGTCCCTTCCACCTGCTCCCACCGGGCTCACCCCCAACTCTGCCCTTGTGCTTTCAGTCAGAGAAGGCTACAGAGTGCGGTCAGACCTAAACATCACACTCGAGTTCCGCACCTCTGTGGACACCGGTGTCCTCCTGGGCATCAGCAGCGCCAAGGTGGATGCCATCGGCCTGGAGATCGTGCGCGGCCAGGTGGGCACAGGTTCCCAGGTCCCCTAACCCAGACCCAGCTTGTGAATGGAGTGCAGAGAATGGTCCAGCAGTGTATTTCGTTGTCATTAGCACACGATTGCGGCACGTGGCACGTAGCAGTCACGCTCATCAGGGAGTGTGATCTTAATGTTTTTCACAACCCTTCTCTCCGCGCACATTACCTGGTGGCTGGGAAGGCGCTTACATTCCCAGTGTGGTCTGGGTCCTAGCCCTTCCTCCAACTCCCTCCCTGCCAAGACAGGCTCTCCCCAGGCATCGAGGGTCTTGACTACTCTCCCCCGCTCCCTGTGCAGCAGGTCCTTCTTGTCACAGGTTTGGTGGGAGTGCCCTGTGGGTGTCACAGATCAGCAGTCCCTGCAGCGCAGTGGCTCCCATACCTCCCCAGGCATCCTGAAAATGAGGCCCATCCAGGGAACAGCCTGGCCCCACTGGGGTGCATGAGTCCTGCCCAGGTCCGGCACTAGGGTGGCCCTGGTTCCCTGGGCACCTCTCCTCACGTTGCTGTCTGCTCCGCAGCTCCTGTTCCATGTCAACAATGGTGCGGGCCGGGTCACAGCCATGTACCAGCCCAGTGGTGGCCACAGGCTCTGCGACGGCAGGTGGCACACGCTGCACGCAGCCAAGAGCAGGCACCGCCTGGTGCTCAGCGTGGACGGCCGTTCAGTGGCAGCGGAGAGCCCGCACCAGCAGTCCACCTCGGCTGACACCCATGACCCCATCTATGTGGGCGGCTTCCCTGGTGCGTGAGGCCCCTGCCAGCCGCGGCCCGGTCGTGGGCGGGTTCTTGTTGGGGAGGAGTAGAAACCTAATGGAATGAATGGTCCTTGGGTGACAAGCCCTTCGCCTTCAGAAAAGTGCTCCTAGACATTCCTGTGGAAGTCACAGGGAGGTTAGTGCGAAGGGGATCCGAGGCGAGTGTGGCAGCCCTGGGCCTGGTGCTGATGGAGGGTGTTGAGCTTGATCACCTGGGGACACCCGTGGGAGCCGTCCCCTCTGTTTTGGGCTAGAATGTGCATTTGGGTGTTACAAGCACCAGGCACCAGCTGTGTCTCTTTTCACCCCTCAGCATCAGCCTGTTAAAAGGGTTTCATTTTCTGCCACTCAGCTGTGTGGAAAAACCCACATTTAGTGGAGAACCCTCTGGAGATGCGTCTGCCCCTCAACTCTCCCAAGCCCTTGACGCTCTGTTCTCTCTTGTCCACAGCGGATGTCAAGCAGAACTGCCTGAGCAGCCGGACCCCGTTCCGGGGGTGCCTGCGGGGGCTCACCCTGACCCGTGGCGCCCACGTGCAGGCCCTGGACTTCAGCCGCGCCTTTGAGCTGCACGGGGTTTCCCCGCACTCCTGCCCTGGGGCCGCGCCGGTGCCCTGACCTGACCCCGGCGAGCGCTGCGGCGGCGGGAATCATTGCCACTAGGCCCTGAGCTCCTCCTGTGGCTTGCAGCCTCTGCCTTTCCTCTCGTTTTCAACTCAGGTTGTGTTTCCAGAAATGTGTTCATGATAAACTCAAATCATGTCTACAACAGATACCTCTCAAATGTCCTTGGACTTTATTGGCCTTTTAAAGTTTTTTTAGATGGATTTTTGTGAACACTGAATGTTTTTTGAGTACTTTACAGTATTATGCTTTTGTATTCTGAGCTCTTAAAAAAATAAAGTGTTGCCGCTAACTGTAAGATTGGAGCAGAGTGTGACTATTTCCACCTCTTTATGAATTGTTAACTATTCATATTGGTCCATGTTTGCGGTACGTGATGCTTGCATTCCATCGTAGGTTCGTATGTGGACCTCACATGTCATCATTCCTCTTATGTCCCTTTGTCCCTCCTCTGTCTCTTGGTCCTCTTCTAGGGAAAAAGGTCTTTTCTTCTCTGTTTCCCATTATCTTTCTCACATTTTGCTCTTTCGTTTATATTTTGGATTTCTCCTATAGGAGAAAATGTGATAGTGAAGCTTGTGTGTGTCTAACTCATGTAACATTGTAGTCACAAGACGCATCCATTACAAATAACTCAAGTTTATCCTTTGTGCCAGTGGTACTCCTCGCTGTGTAAATACTGTCACTTTCTTGTGCATTCATCTGCTGATGGACAAACAGGCTGGTTGAAGGCAGAGCTGGTGTGAGCAGGGCTGCTGTCCGCAGGAGAGTGTGCAAGTCACTGGGACACAGCCTTTCCGTCTTTCAGCAGGACACCTAGAGGGAGCCGCTGGGTCCAGCAGAGCCGCTGCTTTTTTGCTGAGGGATCTGACACCTCTTCTGCCATGTTCTTCACTGGGGATCTGACCTCACAGTGTCTTCTCAGAACCGGAAAGAATAAAAGTGGGTCACAGTAAATTAGCGTTCCCTCCATGGTCAGTGACTGCTTGCCAGAATGTGCTCGTTTTTCTGACAGAATGTGTGTACTCTGACAGGAAGATTCCAAATGGACTCTGGTCTCTGTGACCGAGATTCTTGGATTCCTGTTTGGTGACCCTTAATTGTACTGTAGTTCTCTTTGTTCTCTTCATGCCTGGGCGGTTAATAAGCTTGCCTGCGGCCCTTGCTTCACGCTGGATGCATGTGTCAGACCATCCCACTGTGCGCCTTGCATACACACCATTCTTGGTTCTCAGTTATTGCCTCAGTGAAACTGGAAAAAGACTGAGAGCTAGTGAGAGCAGGCCAGGAGCACCCAGCTCCAGGGGACACAGCTGTCCTCTTTCCCTCGACTCGGTACTCAGGGCTGGGGGTTCTAAACCCTCTTCTAGAAAGCCACCTAAGTTTGCATGTAACTCCAGAGAGTGCATAAATTTTCAGATACTCATGCAGATATCCTCTGAATAGTGAGTGATTGAAGTGCTCACTTGGGCTACACATTGGCCTTTTATTATATGAACTGTATGTTGCTTCATTTTTTTTAAAAAGCACAACAAATAAAAAATTAAAGCCTATTTTTTGACCTGGAAATGAAGATAAAGATATACTGTTTTGTACACCTACAGTCATCTCTAAAATAGTGTGCTGTGTTTAGGGATGACACAGACATGACTGAGCGTGGGACATGGGTCTTAACACAGGCTGAATAACCAAGTGCTGATTTAGGGCCTAACAAGGTAGGCAGCGTGCTCTGGTAGGATTGCTAGCGCAGCGGCATCCTGCGGACTGGCACCAGCAGGAATTACCCAGCATCTGGTCCTGTAAGCCAATCTAATAAATCCTCTTTCAAGACTCTCACAAAACCTTGACAAATCCCAGTGTAAGTTTTAGAGGAGACAAATCACATTCCAACTATAGCATATATAACTGTCAAGTGTCCAAAAAGACCACGTGAGTTTTCAGTACATTTGGCTTGTATCTCTTTTGCTAAGTGTGGTCACTTGTTCTTCCGGCCTGGACATGGTATGCCACCATGGCTGCTCTGCCAGGGGCCTTGTCTGGTCCTGATGGCTCTGTGTTCATCTTGGGTTCCCCCTAAATGAGACGCGCTTCTCAAGGTCCTCTGCTTCTTGCATAGCTCCGTGAAGGTCTGCATCACATTGGGTATTTCTTTGGCATTTCTCCCAGAGCTAACATAATGAGGGCTTGGGGGAGGTTATTAGTAAGTAATTGTTGAATTGAATATTATTAATTTTTGCCCCTAAAACTACCTCATCAATGCAGTTCTTATAAATTGGACAAGTTGCTTTAAATGTAATCCCTCTGGGTCATCTAATAAGCATAAAACAAGTGCAGAATAAGCCAATTTTCCAAGACGTTCCCAAAAGAAGCTCTATAGGCCTAACAATCTTTATCATATGCAGTAAAATCCCAGTGTAATGTACTCTGAAGTTCCAACGCAATCAGGATGGTTTTCAACGAATGCCAAGGCATAGCTCGTAGTGTTCTAAGACTCCAGCAACAGACCCCCAGCAGCTGTCCGAAGCAAGGGCATAAATGAAAACACAATGAGAATCATTTTAACACAATTTTAAAATATTTTCTCACAGTATATATAATGTGTAATAATATACATAATCAAGACACAAATTTCAGAGTGACTATCCAAGAGCTGTGGGCTCTGTTAATTAGAAGATCACGGCCATGGGAAGTCTACGGCGAGGCATTTCACTCAAAATCATTGGCGTCAAGCATATCAATTTCACCAATAACTCCATGTTTAACTGGTGTTCAAAACCCACATGAGATAGCCTATTACTTTTTTATAATTTTTAAAAAGCAGTAAAGGCTTTGATGAAACCAATTGAACCCCTGTTAGGGGCTCAGAAGTTACAATCAGGAAGGATCGTCAGTTCCGGGAGGGGGCGCCGAAGAGCAGCCTCTTGGCTTTGTCGCCTAGCTGGGGACGGGGGCGGGGTAGTGAATGTGCCTCACCTTGGTGATTGCGACGACGCAGCTCTGAGTCCTCGAAGAGTGATTACATTAAACATGGAATTTATTTAAAAATATGAGCAAGCCGGGAAAGCATTTGAACTAAGGTGGTCAGGTGAGGATTGACAAAAGCACATCTGAGTAGGCAAAATTCAGAGCGCTTTCCTCCTTTTGTTACCCATTACATTGGATGACAAAAGTAAAGACTCCTACTCTGATAAAAGCACTAGGTAAATCAATGAATTACTACTTACTCTTACAGAAATTCTCAAAGTTAAGCAAGAAGGGGTGTGCGTGAGTGCGTGCAGGCGTGCATGCGTGCGTGCGGGCGTTAACCATAGAAGGTAGGATCCAACTCATGGCTCATGGTCTGCACATAGCTCAGTTGATTTTCTAGAACAGAAAATATCAGCTATCCTCAGACAGCAGTTATGGGAACCAGAGCCTACAACAGATAGCATTCACAGCGTCTGGGATGCAATTCAGATGGCTAGGAAAATGGGACCAATTCTCCAGGGGGAGAAAAAAGTTAGCAAATGCCTATCTTAACAAGAAATTATTAAAGCCCTTAAAGCAACTATTTTATCTACACATAATAAGATGGAGAAAAATCTTTATAATATTCGCATGAATGAAATGATAGAAATTCTCAACAACAACAACAAAAAAGAAGGATCCAATCAAAAATCATTGAGCTGAAAATACATAGAAAAGTCTCTGGGGAGATAGCTCAGGAGCATAAGTGCCTGCCTGGCAAGCGAGTTCAATCTCTGGTAGGAAAACAAATAAAGTGGAAAAGTCACCAGATTATGTAGTAGCAGAATGAAGGGGGTGAAGGGCCAGAAACATGAAGATGCAGCGAGGAAAATTATCCGGTCTACAGAACACCGGGCTAGAAGGGCCATAGCTCAATAGAATAAACGATACATCTGACAAAGCACAACCAGCATCATACAAAACAGGGAAGAGCAGAAAGCATTTACTCTCCATCTGGAGCAAGACTAGTGTATACACTCTTACATTGTTCTTTTTTTTTTTTTTTTTTTTTTGGTATTTACACATGTGTGTCTGGTTTATTTCACTTATGAGTAAATGTTCAAGTGGCATCCACTTCAATGTAACGGCTTTGAATTTATCATTCTTAATACCTGAATAATACTCCATTGTGTAAAAATACCACATCTTTTCCAACCATTCCTCAGGTGATGGGCATCTTAGCTCTTTCCAAGATTTGGCTATCACAAATTGTGCTGCTATAAACATAGGAACACATATATCCCTATGGTAAGATGTGTTTAGATTCGCTGGGAAAATTTCCAGTAGAGGAATAGCTGGTTTAAAGGGGATTTCCAGTCCAACTTTTCTAAGGAGTCTCCA